ACGATCATGTTATAAAACTTGGCAACGTAATAGAAATGATCAAAACTTAAAAAAATATAAATATGTTAAGAAAAAAAGGCCAAATAAAAAGTAAGGTTAAACTTAAGGCATAAGATAATCTATACAGTTAACAAGGAATAAGAAAAGGTGAAAAAGATGTCTTCACATTAGCAAAAATAACAAAGAACAAGTGTAGGGAAATAGATCATATTAAATACATTAAGAGTGAGGATCAAAGGGTCTTGGCGAAGGATGAAAAGATCAACAAAAGGTGGAGAGTTTATTTTTCAAAATTATTAAATGACGAACACAGTGGGAACATAGCGATAGAAGGAACCGTTGGAATAAATGAGGTTGGAGGCCATAGATACATTTGTAGGATTAGCATATTAAAAGTGAAAGAAGCTTTGTAGAGCATGAAGATAGGAAGGCTTTAGGACCAGATGGTACCCTGATAGAAATTTGATAGTGAATGGGAAGATAGTCATTGACTGGCTGACCAAGTTGTTCAACAAAGTGTTGAGAATAAAGAAAATGTCAGATGAATGGAAAGAAAGTATATTGTAGAACCTATTTACATTGACAAAGGAGACATACAAAATGGTGCGAACTATCGATGGATCAAACCTATGAGCCACACTATGAAGCAATGGCATGAAACGAATGTATTAGAAAACCAATTCGGTTTTATGCCAAGGAAGTCCACAACTGAGGCTATTTTCCTACTTTATGCAAATGACTGAGAAATTTAGTGTGAAGGGAAAAGACCTCCATATGGTCTTTATTGTTCTAAAACAAGCTTATGATATAGAGTACCTCAAGATTTGATTTGGTGGATGTTCAAAAAGAAAGGAGTCTTCAGACACTACATCAACTTAGTGAGAGAAATATATGAAAGAGCGTTAACTAGTTTGCAAAAAACTAGTGGAGAGACAAGTGAGTTTTCAATGACAATATGTCTACATTAGGGGTCAGCACTAAGCCCTTACCCCTTTGTCTTAGTTATTGACGACTTAACTACGCACCAACAAGATGAGGTATCATGGTGTATGTTGTTCGCAGACGACATAATTTTGATCGATGAAATCCAAAACAACGTCAACACAAAGTTAGAACTTTGGAAGGATGCTCTAGAATCTTAAGGTTTTAAAATTAACCAGACTAAAACAGAGTATATAGATTCTGAGTTTAGGAATAATAGGAATAGAGACGAAGTAGTAGTTAAGATTAACGGCCAAGAAATACCAAAAAGAGCGCACTTGCAATATCTTGGGTCGATAATCCAAGAAAATGGAGAGATTAAGGATCGCACATAGAATTATAGCTAGATGGGCGAAGTGGAGATGTGCAATCGGAGTTTTATGTGATCGCCACATACAAATAAAACTGAAGGGCAAGTTCTATAAGACAGTTGTGAGATCAGCTTTACTTTATGGAGCGGAGTGTTGAGCAGTCAAAAACAACGTAGCCATAGAAAGAGTATAGCAGAGATGAGGATGTTGAGATGGACGAGTGGCAAGACAAGAGGGGAATAGAATCGAAATGACTACCATCATAGTATGGAGAGGTTTCCTCCTAAATTGTTGGTGTTCAATTGATTGCCTTCAAATTATGATTTCAAATGTTAATCATCGGAAAATATCCAAAAAAAATGAAAAGAATTAATTATTTGCAACAGAATAGGTTTTGGAATTCTAACGTAAGTGTTCTAGGCAAGTAAGCTATAGAGGGGATGATAAGTTTTGAAATCCTAAATTAAGTGTTCTTTACAAGTAAGTTGTAAAAAAGAGGTTTGGAGATAATAAAGCCAAATTCCTACGACATTTTGAGCAATCAATTTCAGATGCGTAGAACTTTATGCTTAGATGCTTATTTTGGGAGATCCAAAGCACGATTTGAAGATCTCACCATGATGAATGAGTATAATTTCTATGGTGCATCCATAATTCTAAAGTCTCTCACCTTCAAATCCATAATTCCAACGCCTGGTGACATCAGTGACGAATTTAAGGTTCAACCATGATTCTTTTGGGATCTACCAATGTAGGTGGCGATCACCGCTTTAAAGAGTATGTGAAGTCCTAGAATATATACTTTTTAAGGTTGGGAGCAAGATCCCCAAAAGGTTAGGATCAGGATCCCAAAAGGCGGGATTAACATCCCTAACATTTGGGGATCTTGATCCCTAACATATGCATTATACGGTTGGCACTCCAAACCATAGGGGTCATCTAGACATTCACGATGCCCTGCCCCAATCCCACTCCAGATCCCGCCCCCAATCCCAACAATTATGGGTTCAACAAGATTTTTTTTGGATCTCATTTTCCCTTTTAGTTTGCATCCCAAATTTCATAAGGTTACCTTTTGGATGTTAGGTTTTTTTTCCCCAAAACACAATTCATTTTGCTAGGATTGTTGGCGATGCCATTTAAAGACTTGGAGCCCAAGTATAGTAGGATTAGAGGTTTCAAATAGGCCTCTATCCTACATAAGTTATTTAAAGAAATAAATTTTTGGCTTTTGAATTGGTGTTTTTGAGTTGACGGTGAGAAGCTATCTTGAGAGGAGTGATTCCTCCGTCTTTAAGGGAGAGACTCCTTTGATCTTCTTTCGTGGTGTGATGCCACCAAACCCTGAGCTTTAGTTGAAGAGATTCCATCCAAAACAAGGGTTCCCTATTTCCCGTTTTCTTAAATGCCCGACATTCTCCCTCATCCTTCAATCTTCCCCCCACATTCCTCCCATCCCTTCTTCCATCTAGCCACCCATGCCCCTTATAACCCTAATATTCTTCTTATCCATGCCAATCCTCCGTCTATAACAGCCAGTGTCGCACCTCATCCTATCTTATCCTATTCCTAAACCTACAATTCTCTCATCTATTTAAAAAACAAAAAAAAAGGGCAAAAACAAAACACTAGAGCCTCTATTCATTTATCCAGACCAGCCACCTTCTTCCTCTTCATCCTCCAACCCAGACAACCCACTTACACAGTAAATCCTAATTCTTAACATCCTCTGCTTCCAAGGCACCTTCCACTCTGCATAGCTCCATCCACTCTATCCTTTCCCAACCAAAATCAGTCCTTCATGCTACATGCCTAGTATCTTAAAAACGCTAACCTGCTAAACCCAGCAACCCCTATCTATACTAAACCCTAAATTAAATCACACCCCTGCTTTTCAATGTGCCTTCCAACCCACAACTCTAATGCTATCGTACTCTACACCCCTTCAAACAATCCAAGCCTCACCTATAGACCCTATCCATGTATCTTCCAAACCCTTGGATTGTTAATCATAAGTATAGTTGTGGGAACGTTGGGGTTAAGGCCACAGTCCCACCTTAGGAACTCGATCCCACGTTTCCTCCGAGGGATCTCAGAGGGAGCCAGGTTTAGAGAAATAGGGATCGCGCTCCCTATAAAATTGAATCTCAGTCTACATGTTTGTAGGATCCCTCCAAGGAAAGGAGATATACTATTAATGAACAACTTGTGTTCTCCTTGGTATTATAGATTTATTTTTTTGAAGACGCGGCATTATAGATTTATTTCTTTAGAATATGTTAAACTATGCTGCATATCATCACATTGTGATATACTAGAATTATGGTATTAAAAAACTATATGTTAATATCATAATAAGCCAATTTATGATATTATGGAACTTTATTATTGTAGTAAATTGGAGCATTATAACTACGTTATTTGTAATAAGCTAAAGTGTATGATAAGGGATTGAGCAAGTATTACCTCGATCCTATTTTTATTATATACTATTAATTGATCTCGTTTTATGACCCTCCAAGTCAAAACCTCGATCCCAATGACATGGGATCTCGCTCCCAGGTATCCTAGGATCTAGCTCCTTAATATGTTGAATGTATGGATGCCGATCCTAACCCTAGGGAGCTTCCACCCCCTAGGGATTCAACGTTCCCCGAACCAATCCTGCTCCTGAACCCACTCCTGCCTCCAACAACTATGATCATAAGCACACAACTTCCGCAACCAAGCTTTCCAATGACAACTTCCACAAATTCTAAGCTACCTAAACTCAATTTCCATCCTCAAACACAAACATCAACCTTCCGAAACTTCGACCCAGCCACTTAACATAGCCCATTACACCCTTACCTACTTATGTAGGAGCCAAGTTTCTTGGTCCTACCTCACATTTCCAAGGGAGTAAGAGTAAACAATTCATGCAAAGTTGGCACTACAGCCCTATCTTTAAAATTAAACAACTGCCAAATTGGATATATATGGAGGCATGTCAGAAATTTCAGAAAAGCTTGCATGCATTAGTTTCCCTAGAAAGACATGCTGTAGATTATAGTATCTTTAGAAGTCATTCCTTTTCATAGCACCACTTCCCACTGACTATTGATTTTAAATAAGAGAATAATTCTTCCACCTCCATGAGCCCTAGAAGATCGCTCTCATCAAGCCAACAGCTGATCAGATGGCCACCTGGCAGTCTGACAGATAAAAACCTTCAAAATAAAGATCTTCAAAAAAAAAAAAGTTCTTCCATCTCAACATTAATTTATTTTTCTGTACAAGACAAATCATTAAGAATAAAAAACAGAATGCATAACATAAAAAAAGATTCTGTTTTAATCAGAGTCACCTCGGAACTGCAGATCAGTGATATCCAGACAAGTAAACCCAAAACCAAAACTTAGGCCAGTCATCAGCAAAGGCAATCTCTTAACCAAAAAGAAAATTCTCGAACCCTTAGGCCATTGATGTCAAACAGAATGCTCCTACAGTTGCAGATGCACCCAAAAACTACGATGCAATAAAATTTAAGCTTCTTGCTCTTGTATAATCCTATGTTATACTTTTCATAGATCATAGTCTCACAAGATTATTGAACCAACTTTAGTAAGAAGTGATCCAACTATTCAGACATCCAAAGAATAAATACAGTCCAGCAACACATTTTATGAACAACAAATAAGAGCATAACAAGAATTAGCTGATGTGTACCTCTTCCACTGCCCTCTGGAAATACTGAGAAGCCTTTCTAAAGTAAGTTTTTGCTACTTCATGGTCAGGAGTAAGAAACGCATGTGATGTGTATGCATTTCCCAAGCACCAAAGAGTATCATGCTTTCTTGGGTTAACTTCCAATGCCTCTTCAAGTTTTGAAATAGAATCTGCAATTAAAATTAAAATATGAAATAGAAATCATTATTTAAATGCATGAGATGACTCAACCATAAGCCATGAAAACTGCACAGCAACACAGACTAAAGCAGGAAAATCTTTATACAAAAGTAGAGCGCCTGAAGTAGACATATCAAAGAATATCCAGGAAGGAAACATCTTAAAATCAACATATGCAAACCCAGAAAATATGACTAGGATTTCCTTTGAAATACATCAAAATGTCTCAGCACTAAACCATGAAAACTGTACACTAACATTCTAGCATACTCAAACTAAATCAAAACATCCGTTTAATATGCGGCATGTGATGTTTGTATAAGACATACACAAGGATGTCTATGCAAATCAGCACAAGCAAACTCTCTATTATCGAAGGTAACAGCTGGCAACTCATGAGTAGTGATCCCACGATAATAAAAGTGCAGAGAGGAGTGCTCATGCAGTCATACCTATAACAAGCAAGAAAATCAGACTAACAATAGGGTGTCTCATATTTGTGCCTATACAGACCTCATAACCAGCATCATCAAGGCTAAGGCAAGAAAATGTAACTTCTCTTTCTCAATACTCTGGACATATGAACAGGGCATCGAACTCCTTATTCCATAAACAACATTGCACACATGGCAATATAATCATAAAAACACAAAAAAGCCAATACAAACAAAATTAACTAGTATTCACAATTTCACATAATGATACATACCAGCTAAAACAATGGGTTAGAAGAGCTGAGAAAATAATAGTACATATTTATGCCTAAATTTCCATCAAAATTTCCAAATATAGAACGTTCTATGCCCAAAAATCAAACAAGGAAAAAGCCAATCACAATAGTATAATCAATGCTATTTTAAAAACCAAAGATATTCAAAAAAAGTCAATGTTGGGATGGGTGTCAAGACATCTCAACACCAATACAATGCCTAAACAGAAGAATCCAAGTATCGCACTCCTGTATCGATAAAAAGGGTAAGATTTAGCAAGCCAAATCCTTTTCGCAACATAGTAACAGAGCAGAAAAGATTGCTAGAGATAGAACACAAGAATCCAAAAAAATTATCATCATCACTATACTTAATTCCTTACTGCTTGAGGAAATAACTCTTCTAACCATGTTTGTCCTTTAAGTTTTAATTTAATAATGGAAAACCATGGACTCGTTAAAGCAGTATCGGAGAACTAGGGTGAGCCAATCTGGACCACTCAAGTCAGCCCAAAACATACACATGGGAACTGGCGGAGTTTGGCCGGTTCAGAGACTACGTCGAGTGTCTAACAGACTTGGCCGAGTCAGTCAAACATGATTTATACCCTTGACCCTTCTGAGTTCCAACTCAAGTTCATTTTTTCTAATACTTCTAAAGAAATTAGAACAAGGAAGAGTTAGCCACAGAATTCAAATAACTAGGGTTGCGCTGCTCTAGTATTAAAGCATTCTCAGCAATAGTTGTGACATTGCTTCCCGAAGATTAATCCAGTACAACAATATCAGAATAATATCAACACATGCATTATTTTCAAATGCAGCCACACAACACACTCCAAGGCGCATATGTGGAAAAATGTGATGCGCCTGCATATGTGGCACATCACCCACATATGCGGCCATATCACCTGCATCGCATCCTGAGAGATGCACCTGCATATGCCCTTTGTACTCCTGGGCGGAAAATAAGCCCATCAGTATGGGCAAATTTGTCTCCCCCCCAGGCGGCCTCCGCAACCATAAAAAACAAAAAATGGACCCAAAAAAACACATTAGAATAAGTTTACATGGTTCTAAGGTGATTCAAACCAAAAAATTTCTTGAATCCAAAGTTTTTTAAAAAATTAAGAGATTCTTTTGACCATCCTTTTAATTGCTTTGGGCATTATTCATAATGTATTTGGGCAAAGATTCACCAACAAATCGAGGGTTTTGAAGGGCCGAGTATAAATCGAAATTTCTTTGGATTGTTTGGTAACTTCTTCATTTCCTAATGCCTTTTTCTTGTGGGGGGAGAAATGTCTTCATCATCTACAAGTAACAAGATTCCAGCATGGAAAAAGTAAACTTAGAAACCGTAAGGATTAAAATTGCATTATATGTACTTTGTGTGGAGTTGTTTATATGGGCGTTATTTTTTGGTGAAACGAATACCTAGCTGGTATTATGACGAATGTTAAAGCATGACCACAAGCAACCAATGAAATTGGAAGAGAGATTATGGCATACATATATAGCCATGAAAAAGCAAAAGGAAAAAAAATGATACAAAAAAAAAAAATAGACAAAAGAAATTCAAGTATTTTATGACTAATCCGATTGAGACTTGAGACTTTTTTTTTTCTTTTATATGTCATAAACTTTTGGTCTTTGCCTCTTTGGACTTGAAACTTTAAACTTTAGAATTTTCAATATTTTATATGAGATGGAATGTATTGCTTCGTTTTACATGTTAATTGTATTGGACATTTAAACTACTAAATATTAGAAGTTAGAACAATGCATTCTATTACCCTTTATCAGGCTATGAAGGGACTCAGATTCTCAAACAGCTAATATTTTATAGATATTGAATGAATTAAAATACCTATTATTATAGATATTAAATAAATTAAAATGCATGCTATCATCTAAATCGTATTTATAATTTTTTCTATGCATCATTATATTTTAAAAATTTATTGAGATGAGCCCCTGCATCGAGACATCGTCCAGATGCATCACCGCAACAAATCTGCATTCCGCATTTTAAAACAATGAACGCATGAAGAAGGCGGCTCACTGCAATACAAGATATTACGTTGGCAGAGAGCAATTCTGTCAAAACTGACATATAGTCATTCTTAGATACTACCAGTGTTCAAAAACCCAAAAAACTCAACTGACTCAAGCTATACCAATACCAATTCGATTCACTACGTTAAACAGCTAGCTCACTAAAACTCAGGTGAGTTTCTCAAATTTCGTAAACAAAATTAAGAAATAACTATTTAGTAACCAAGTCATCATAGATGCCTACCACTTCACTTAAGACAATTTATATGCAAAAACAACATATATACACACATGCCAGCAGGTATATCTAAGTTTCTCAATTATAAAACTCAGCCATTGGCACAATCAAGTTAACTCAGTGAGTTTTCCTGCTTGAAACTGAGTTTCTAATCACTAAACTAGTACCAGAATTAGCTTTGAGATTGCAGACCTGCATTCAATGCTCAGTGCATGTCTTTTATGGCATACGATATGGGATCAAAACCATGGCTAATGGGACTAAGCATGAGGTCTAGTCTGCATGTTTATTCATGAAACATATAATAATCAATTTGCTTGTAAAGAGAACATATTGAATCCATTACGTACAATGCCATATTAAGTACAATCCATTGTGCATGTTTATAGCTCTTGTTTTATTGCATATTTGTTTCCTTGATGAATGACTAATCATCAATAAAAGCAAAATAAAATAACCTTATGTTTCTAATATCATACGAGAATGAAACATTGGTCCACATTGGCACTCTTTTGAAAAAGCCGCTAGGCTTCTAAAATGGAAGTGTACATGTAGAAGTGAGCCTAACCAAGTGCTTCTTTATAAAAGTAAGCCTACCATAATACTCACCTTTATATTGAGCAAGGCAAACAATTCAAGTCAATTGAAGATTGAACAAGCATGCTTCTGCACTACATCAAACATTAGATGGAACATTACATCATCTAATACCGTTACACCAATACATGACTAACCGTTGTGAATTTAGATGTAATACCTTCAACCATCTTGATGCAGTTAGGGCCCTGTTGAAACTGAGATAGTTCAAGCAGTGCTCCTCCCCATCTTGTAAGATTCTGAAGACCCAAGTTAAAATTGTTTAAAACTCAATGCCCAGTCGATGAATATATTTTCACATAAAATCAAACCGATACAGGTCCAATTTCACCCTCCATTATATTTTTTGCTGTGAAACAGCTTTGAACTAATTACAGAAGAGTACATATAAAACCCTAAAATACCCCCTACCACTGCCACAAAAAAAAACGAAAAAGAGAAAAGAGAAGGACCCCTAAAGAAAATATGGATGGCATGCAATAAACACCATTCACAACCATTAAGACAACATAAATGAAAATCCATTTCAAGCAACTATACAAAATACTCCACAAACCTCGAAAGGCACACCATAAAACCAGTTGTTTATCTCATAGCTTCGTTTGATGGATACATGATGAAACAGAGAACTAAGAAATCGAACTAAGTAACAAAAAAAGCCTACTCAGAGTAAAACCATGTGAAGAAATGGATAACAAGTATTATGTGATTACATCTGCATCGAGGGGGTTCTTTGCATAGGTAGCCTCTGCGGTCATTAGAGCGGCTTCAAAGAAGAACTGGCGATCAATGTCATTTGTAGGCATGCCGTCCATGGCTAAGGAAAATAACAACTGACTGAGAAAGAGAAACACAGAGATTGGGGGTAAATAGGTAGAACGAAATTCCTGGTTTTGAAACGGGGGTTTTGTACGTATATAAAGGGAGGCGGGGGTTTTGTTCCAGAGTCTCCTCTTAGAGAGACGGAGAGAGGGCTCTGAAGTCCTGAATTTGTACACCTCACTTTCGGGGCAAGTCTTGGACTTTCATATATAGAAGCGACGCTGCCGCGTCCAATAAATTAATACGAATCGAAATTGGGGGTTTAGTGACGCATAGTAGCACCAGGTCCCGAGCTCGATTCTACTGCTCTATTCTTTTAGAAAAATGAAAATTCTTTCATCCGGGCTGGACGATCTATTTCTGTATTTGCGGTCGGAAAGTGTGAAGCATTCATTTATTCATTTTAAAAATGGATGCAAGTAAGTATTTTATAATCTAGTAGGTGTTCCATCTAAAAATAATAGAAATTTATTCATTTTAAAGATGGATGCAAGTAGGTGTTCTATCATCTAGTAGGTGTTCCGTCCAAAAATAATGGAAGTTAACCTCTCAAATATTTAATTACTAAAATTATTATTTTAGTTTTCAAAAATTATTTATTTTTTCATATTCATAATCTCCATATAGAAATGTACTTAAAAATTAAGTATTAAAATCCATCTCAAAATTAGATTTATTACTAGGCCCGTATTTCTACGTATGTAGGCTTGGCCACATAGAAACTGGGTCCTTAAAAAAAAAAAAAACTTTTATAAGATTGCAACCCTAAAATGTATAATTAAAGTGCATCTCAAAAATATATCATAAAAAGTTGTTTTGATGTTAGAAAACCTTCTAATTGATCATCTTGACATCGAGATATCTGAAATGAGAAAAAAAAAAAAAAAAAATGATTTTGAGTCATAAAAATAGTGCATCTTGCAATACATTATCTGGACCGTCCAATTTCAAGATTTTCAAGTGTTTATAGATCTACTTGATTTGACTATTCTTGGAGTTTAAAATTTTATAATTAGAAATGAAAATAGATTCCCATAACCTTATACAAATCACACCAAAAAAATATATCATTATTATCCTTATAGCCTTTTTTCAACTATTGGGGGCTATTATCCTAAAAATATATTATATGCAAATATGAGAAAAATCTTAAACAAATTTTATTATGAACAGGAATAATTCTGATGGAAAATTTTAGCAATTTTTTTTATTATAAATATAAGTTATGAAATATATCATAAATATAAATTATGAAAGATATAAAATGTGAGCATTATGCTACTTATGGTATACGGGTACTACATGTTTTTATATATGGTACTATGGTAATACATATGGTATGATAGTATGGGTATATCAGTAGAGAGAGAAAGAGGTTTCAAGTAGAGATAGAAAAGGATTTTATGAAACTATCACCTTCATAATATTAGCATCTTAAAAATAAATTATATAACTTATTACTAGAGGTTTGATTTCTATTACTAAGCTTTGAATTTTTATGTACAACCCAATTTTAAAAATGAGAAGAGAGGTACATATGCACAATCATAATTCCAATTCTACATTTGCAAATTCGTTAACACATCAAGATTGTACATTATGTTGAAATAGACGTAAAACATTGTATGTGCACAAAAATCAACTATTAGGCTAAATGAAGTTTGTGAAATGTAACATTCAAGAAAGAAATAAGTTTGTGAAATATATTTGTAATGTGTCATTTTTATGCAGAACTTGTAATAAATATATACCCATTAGACTTTATTAAAGCTAAAAATCATGTTCCCTTATTTCTTTGGTATCCATTGGAACATTTGATAAAATTAGTACCTCTGATTTTTATAATAACCAGCATTGGTATTGCACAACCACAAATTTTTCCATTATCTTTTGATCTCAATATTTCCTCGAATTCTTTTACATTCCTCAATATAAAGATTATGCATCTCATTACTTCATTAAAATATAAAAAGCTTTATACTACTAATTTGACCTCAAATTGTGGGGGCGATTATCTTCGCGTAATTTTACGTTTAATTCATTCTTCGGTTACCTATTTGATGTTTTCTAGGGATTACCAAACCTTTAGGCACTTTGCCTCTTGTTATATTTAGACGTCAAATGATAAACACCTATATCACTATCAGAGATGGACATATCTTAACATATTTTTTTGTTTTATAACTCCATAAATAACAAATGCTCCTTCAGTCAAGCCTGATGAAGTATAATTTTCTCCCTAGCATATTTTGGTTCTACACATTTGTTGCTATTTATATTTGACAAGCTTATTACTTTAACTTCTTGAATATAGCATGAGGTGTATTCTCAACCATGCAAAAGCTATACCTTTCACACCAGTCTTAGTGCTAGATAATCTACTTATAAATGCATTGTTATGCCTAAAATTAGGCTTGGAATGGATTAAACTCTTTGGTATTGCCTTAGGGGGATACATATCGTAATCGGCCAAGCTAAAAGCAAGGATGTCCAAGTTGAATATCATATGTGTTGTTGTCTTTCATTTTACCATGGAACCCTATCACAGTCTAACTGATTTTCTTTTTGAAAAATAAAGTTTTGAGATTTCTAATTTCTTCACGTCGTCGTCGTCGTCATCATCATCCAAGCCTTACCCCAATGATTTGGGGTCAGCTACATAAATATTGTTCCTCCATTATTCCCTATCAGTTGCCTACCTAATGCAACCTACCTCTTTGACCCGAGCTTGGGACGGGTGAAAGGAAAGTTTGAGGTCCTCACCCTTACCAGACCAATAGTGAGTGTTTCGATTTATTATTAAGAAAATTCAAGGTAACAAGCTTCTAAGTTTTTAACACCTTTCATTAAATTGCCTCGTTCAATGATTGTAGAGTTTTGCATATTTGTAGTAGCTTAGTTGCTTCATGTATATCACATACTTTGCATAAACAAGGGATCCAAATAATGTTGGTGGCATTGTCTAACTTAGTCACTCCCTTGAATCTATTATTGAAGCTACAACTCCAATGCTAGACGAAAAGATGAATCATCTAAAGCAAGTAGAAAGGTAAATACAAGAACTTCCTACACCCCTCAAGCTGAGGCATGCCCAAATTTTTTATGTTGACACTTAATGTGAAAACTAAATTTTGGTTTGGTTAATTGACTACTTATATTAATTTATAGGACTAATGTAGAGTAAGTGAACATTTTTAACCATCGAAGACTCCCCCTTTTTAATTCCTACAACTTGACTTTGCACGCTAATCTCTTACTACTTAAATGAATTTGTTTTTCATCATGAATATAAAATTTATATTAGTTAGGGTGCTAAAGTGACATAATTCTTTGACCCTTTTCCTATGATGATAATGGTTGTTTTTTAAATAGTGCAATTTGTATATATGTAAACCTTAAATAATCAAAGTAAGACCTCGCTCTAAATATCTCCAAAAGACATAATTTTAGTGCCAAAAATCCTTGTGTTAGCCTAAAATCTATCTTCATTGTAATTAACTTTTTAAAACTATAACAATGGCGTAGATCGAGCAGATTTATAAATACTTAGTCTTTGTTAGACAAAACAAAATTTGAATATCCAAAATTCGAATATTAAGACTAAGAATCAAAGGGTCTTAGTGAAGGTTGAAGAGATCCACGAAAGTTGGAGAGTTTATTTTCAAAAATTAGTAATGTTGAACATGAAGGCGAAGGTCATAGATATATTTGTAGGATTATGGTATAAGAAGTAAATAAGTTTTGAAGATGATGAAAATAGGAAAAGCTTTAGGACCAAATGGTATTTTAATATAGGTTTGGAAGTGCATGGAGGAGATTGAGAATGGCTAGACTGACCAAGTTGTTCGACAAGATATTAAAAACAAAAAAAAATGTTAGCTGAATGGAGGACAAATATTGTGGTTCATATTTACAAGAAAAGTAAAGATTTACAGAACTGCGTGAATTATCAATAAATCAAGCTTGTGAGTCACACTATGAAGTTGTGGGAGAGAGTGATTGAGTAGTGACTAAGGCATAAAACAAGTATTTTCAAAAAATCAATTCGGTTTTATACAAATGAGGCCAACAATCAATGCTCGTTTCCTACTTAGACAACTGATTAGGAAGTTTAAGGTGAAGGTAAAAGACCTCCACATGGTCTTTATTGATGTAGATAAAGCTTATGATAGAGTACCTAGAGATTTAGTTGGGTGAGTGCTGGAAAATAATGGAGTCTTAAGGCACTCATCGACTTGGTGAGAGATATGTATGAGGGGGCACTAACTAATGTACAAACAACTAGTGGGGAGACGAGTAGGTATTCAATGGCAATATGTCTACACCAGCGGTCAATATTGAGCCCATGCATCATTGTCTCAGTAATGGACCATTAACTAGGCACTTGCAAGATAAGGACCGTGGTACGTATTATTCGCAAATGACATAGTTTTGATCAATACAACCCGAAACGAAGTCAACGCAAAGTTAAAACTTTGGAGGGATGCTTTATAATCTAAAGGTTTTAAAATTAGCCAGACTAAGACATAGTATATGAAATTCAAGTTTAGTAATAATGAGAATAGAGATGATGAACTAATTAAAATTGACGGCTAAAAAATACCAAAAAGACCGTGATTTTGATATCTTGGGTCGATAATCCATAAAAATAGAGAGATTGAGGAACATGTTGCACATAAAATTAGAGTTGAGTGGGCAAAGTGGAAATGTGCAACTAAATATTTATGTGAATGTCGCATACCAATGAAGCTGAAGGGCAAGTTCTATAGGACAACAATGATGCCAGTTTTATTTTATGGGGCAGAATGTTTGACAGTCAAAAAACAACATACCCATAGAGTGAGTGTAGATCAGATGAAACTATTGAGATGGATGAATGAATAGACAAGAAGGGATATAATTCAAAATGAATACATTCGAGACAATTTTGGTGTGATACTAATAGACAATAACATGATAAAAAGTTAACTTAGCTGGGTTGTCCGATCCCAAATAAATTAAGAAAGGCCGCGACGATGACTATGATAACGTTTTCAAAAAATTAAATAAAGCCATTGCCTATTTTTTTCATATCTATGAATTACAAATGATTTTAATACGTGTTTCTATGTGCATGTTTGACTGCTCACTTATATCTCATAATTTTGTTGGAGTACTATAAAGAGAGAAGTGTGAAACGGAAGTAGAGAGAGAAAGAGAG